ATAGGACAAATGGTATAAAGTTGTTAGCTGTACCTTTACACCCAGTGTTCAGATACCAACCCCCCCAAAAACAGTTAAATTAACACTTTTGAAATGTCTACATGGATCCACACCACAAACTGTTAATTGAACTCTTTTTGAGGGGTCGGTATCTTTACACTATTTACTAAACAAGTGTTAAGCATTAACTCTCTTAAGACACTTTTTGTCAACTTTAAATCAGTGTTAAGCCAACAATAGCATTGTAAGGTGTAACGGCTCTTGTGAATGACTAAAAATAACTGAAAAAATGGCAAAAATAATAATAATATTACATTTTATTTGAGTACAAGCGCTTTACATGACACCCAAGGACACTTTACAAAACAAATGCAATAAGTATCAAATTACAGAAACAAAAAACAAGGTAATAAATTAGGGTACAAACAGACAAAGCAGCTGCATTAAGGTGGGATGAGCAGTCCTAAACAGGTGAGTTTTGAATTTGGCTTTAAACAGGGTGAAATAATTAATGTTCCTGAATTCAAGTGGTAGTGAGTTCCATTAAACGGGCGGAGGGGACAGACAAATGGAGAGAGGAGGAGGATCTGAGGGAGTGAGAAAGAAATGAAGCTTTTGTAATTATACTTGGAGTAAACATTCCCAGAGGCACACGTTATGTTCCCCCAGCTGCTTCTACAAAATAATGTTGATATTGTAGTCTGACTCACCAAAATAACATTGTGCTGTATGGATGCGGTTAGCATTACTGTTCGATGTTAGCCAGCGCTAATACTAACTTATTGCTAACAGCCCACAACCAAAAGACTTCATAAATTACTGTTATTTTAGCTTTTGAACAGCTCAGTAGGAAAACGGTCTTATAGAACTTTATTATATCTGCGGTGTTTGCTATCAAATGTAGAGTTTTATCGGTGGCCATGTGACAGTGTGAATGTGACTTATACCAAAAACACCAGGTGTCGGAGGCGATATATTCATATCAACATAATATTAACATAACTTAATTCACTTACTGAAAAATGCAAAGAAGAAGTAATAGTGACCGTAAAAAAAAAAAATTCATTTCTAAGGCTATAAAAATGTTCCGGAATGAGCTATCAATGTATTTGCAGCAGATATGGAAACAATAAAGGGTCTCAATGAAATATGTGCAGTATCGCATGATTACTGTAAATTGTCACATGACCAGAGCTGTTTACTTCCTGTTTGTGCCAAGAGAAGAGGATGGCAGCAAGAAAGCTCCCAAACAAAAGGTTGCTACAGCATGTTAACATAAAGATAGGACATAGATTTTTGGTACACATCATGTTTAAGGTGTCTAGTATTGATATATATTTTTTCAATTACTCCACTTTGCTTAATGTGGCCATACAACTCACAAACATGTCACCGGCAACAATAGTGACCGGTGGGATAACCCATTGTATCTGCATGCTAATACACATAGGCTAACTGTTCTACTTTTACTTTCTGCTGCTACCTAACTTTCTACCTAATTTTACACATGGACACACACATACACAGAAACACACACACACACACGGACCCAGGGAAGACTAGCTAGCTAGCTACCAAACTTTCTGCTGTGTTTTCTTTTAGATTTACTGTGAGTCAAGTTCTTGAGACCAAGGGAAAGCAACTGAATCTAAGTATGGATGGGCTCCTCACCTTCTATGGGATCCTAATTGCAAGTGGATACGGCTCTGTCACAAGAAGACACATGTACTGGTCAGTTGACAATGATGTACACAATGAGATCATTTCAGGTGCAATGCGGAGAAACCGCTTTGATGATATAATGGCCTCAGTTCATGTGGTCGATAACACCAAGATCACTGATGACCCATTTTTTAAGGTTAGACCTATCTTCTCTGAGCTCAATCAGTCTTATAAAATCATGCCCTTTCAGGAATGGCTGTCAGTGGATGTGAGCATGATCCCATACTACGGCTGACATGTATGTAAACAATTCATCAAAGGCAAACCAATTCACTTTGGTTACAATGTATGGAGCCTCACCTCGTCCAGTGGTTACATGTACCATATGGAACCATATTGTGGAACGCACACTCTCCTCCCAGAGACAGGGTTGAGTCAGGGACCCAGCGTTATCATAGGTTTAGCAGAGCAAGCTCAGGTGTCTCAAGGTTGCAAGTTCTTCCATGACAACCTCTTTACCACTCTTTCACTCATGGATGAAATGACAAAAAGAGGATATGGGAGCTCTGGAACCATGAGGCAGAACCGCCTGTTTGATGTCCCATTCACACCACTGACTGCCTTCATGAAGTTACCCAGGGGAACCTCTAAAGTTCTGTGCCAAGGAGAGAAGCTCCTGGTCCGTTGGAAAGACAATAGCATTGTCACAGTGGCAACAAACATGGAAGAAAAATACAGTGAGACCTCTGTCAAGAGATGGAACAGGCATCGACGTGTCTTTGACAACGTCCAACAACCAAAATGCATCAGCCGATACAATGAGCACATGGGTAGTGTAGACCTTCACAACCTACAGGTTTCACGATACTATGTCTCAGTCAGGTCAAAGAAGTGGTGGTGGCCCATCTTTGCATGGTCTATCAACAGTGCTCTTGTAAATAGCCATCTCTTTTACAGAGATATTATTGGAGGGACCCTCGACCTGCTCATCTTCTCACAAATAGTCTCGCAGTCTCTTCTGCAAAGGTTAGGAACAAAGCCACTGAGCCATGAAAGGAGATCTCTACTGAGTGCTACCGTTGAAGATCAGGCAAAATACGACAAAGCTTCCCACTGGCCAATTAACACGATGCACTGGTTCCAGAGATGTCGCCATTGTGAGAAACGCACTACCTATGCATGTGAGAAATGCAAAGTACCACTGCACATTGAGTGCTTCAAGCTGTACCATGGAGTGTAGAAGAAAAACAGGAAAGACAGGAGAATGCAGTCAGACATAGAGTTCACACACACACACACACACACACACACACACACACACAAGTGGTTGCATGCAGTTACAAACAAACAGTAGTTTGGAGTCTGGGAAGAGAAGCTGGGGAAAAAAACCCCAAAATGTCCTAAATGTTCCAGGTAAAGATGTTATTTTTTAATCATTCAAGGCATCTCTTTGTTCTTTGTTCTACAACCTATTTTGTTTTGTAGTTGTTCAGTCAGTCAGTCAGTGTAGGCATATACTTGAAAGCATGTTACCATGCTACCTCTATCCTAAATGTTTACCTTCATGTTTAGTGTGTTCAATGTATACTGCACTAAAAATGAATGTGTTCAAATGAATTTTACACTAAAAATGAACGTTTTCAAATGAATGTTGCACTAAAGTAAGTTGCACTAAAGTTACAATGTTGAAATACATTGATGATTGTTGTTTTTTGTCTTAACCTCAACATTCATAACGGGGCTCCCAGTATTCATATTGCTAGCCAATAGTATAAGGCTTATAGGTAAAATATTCATACTACAATGAGAGCACATTTAGAGGCAATATATACGGATTTTTTACACTCACACGCACACACACACACACACACACACACACACACACACACACACACACACACACTGCACAGGTCAATTCGACCTATATTCAGTCTGTCCAATGGTTGATACAACACACTTTTTCACACACTTTTCCATGAAAATTTCGAAAAAATTATGATTGATTGTTTCAAAGGGATATTAATGACACATGATTTGGATATTTTTATGTCTGGGAAAAATTTGGGAAAAAATGGGTTAACAAGCTCAAACACAATTTTCAGACTCCTTCGGTTCAGCTTTAGTTAAGATGTTCAGTTCGTGAGACCAAGGGGCGAAGTTGACCAAGACCAAGTACACTGGTAGAGTCTTGGTCAGGTTTAGAGTTCAGAGTGAAACGTTCGGAGTTAATGTTACAACAATAACACTTGCAGATTTGATCTAAAGACACTCGGCTTTGACACTCTGTTATGACACCAACTACTTGTCCACTCAGAGTTAAATATAAGGGGTTTGACTCTATCTAGAGTAAAACTAACTCTACTCTTGCTCAAATTTCACCAACACCCGAAATTTAACTCTTCAATTTGCTGTGCAGGGCAAAGATAAGGAATACCCCGGACAGGTCGTAAGTCGATTGCAGGGCTACACTTAGAGACAGACAATCAAGTGTACTCACATTCACATCACCCAATTTTGAATTTTAAAGAGGAAGCCAGAGAACATGCATGCAGAAAGATCCCGAGTGTCCTAACAGGGATACAAGCTGGGGATCTTCTAGCTGTGAGGCGACGGTGCCAACCACCAAGCCACCTTGCAGTCCCTATGATGGAATCAGTTTTCTCTTTTAATAAACTATTCACAGCTGTGTGTGTGTGTGTGTGTGTGTGTGTGTGTGTGTCCGCACGCGTGCACATGAAGACATGCTAGGTCAGAAACTAGAGTTTCTGATATGTCTCTGCATATGTCGATATATTTACAATCAATTCAGTATAATTTGTTGGTAAAATAATGATGCCAGGCTAGAAAAGAGGATTGTAGGTTGGCACACAAGACTCTGCCCATGTGTGAAGCATAACTGACGTCAACTTAGCAGTGTGGTGACAACAACAACCTAACAGCCTTATGTAGAAATCAAATCAATAACATTGATGAAAGTTAATCAATCCTATGCTTAGCCATGCATTGCTCTGTCAAAGTATGCCTTATTACCAGTCCATGAATTTGTTGCTTGTGGAATTAGCTGACTGACTTTGTGCTTTAGGTGCTGGTGCTTACCAAACTAGTTGACAGTCACGGGACATACTTAGCTACCAAGGAATTTGCAGGAGGCTTTAGCTTCGCTGACATGGGAGAAGAGGTCAGAAAGGGGTTTTTTGTTGACCTGATCAGGAGGGTAGTCCAGGTGATATTAGAATACATTGCAGGAAGTGACTGAATACGACCATTTATCTTTAAAAGCAAAAGTTCAGTTTCAATCATACAACAGAATTAATTTATCTTTTGGAACTTCTTAAGCAGACCTACACTGGTTAGTTGTGTGTCTCTCCAGGTGGGCGTGCAGGGGCAGGCGTGTGTGGTGTGGACGGCTGCAGCGACTGCTGATTCCCATTCACGTAGATTAGTATTCTGATTCCTGTTTATCTATTTAGTGTGTGGTGTCAGTGTTTAGTTCTTGTTTTCAGGCATTTACTCTTATTAGCCCTTGGTGTCAGTTTTGAAAATGAAGTTCCTGTTACCTTTGACCTAGTTTCCGTTTCCTGTAAATATTGTAACCTCGGTTGTGTACAAGTCCAACCTCTGTTCAGGGCATGTCCAGCCCAAGAAGATAAAGATCATTCCGGATATCGGGGCTCCTTCTAATAGAGCGAGAGCTTTGTCACTCCAAGCCCAGCGCTGCCTAACTTTACCTGTGACCTAAATAAATTCTACATATGTGAACTGAAGATTTCTCCGGTTTGTTCTTGGGCTTCCAACTAATGAATCGGTTTCACAATTTTGGTGCCGAGACCCGGATTGGTTGATTCTGAGACTGCATCCAATTGAGGACTGCCAGAGTTCATTGGAGGTGACTCTTTTTTAGACAATTACATGCGCCTGAAACAAAAAGGTGAGCAGAAAACCTCTACTTGAAATTTCTGCACATGGGGCATACTAAAAGAAATTGTATGTATTGTATTGTATTAATCTCTGGTCACTAAAAGCATAGTAATTTTCTTTTGGTGAATGATTAATGATTGTTTAATTTTTAAATTTTCTAAATTTTTTTTTTTTACTGAAATGGTCACATGTAAAGTGTAAAACATATAGTCTCATGTGAGGGAAAGTCTTATAAGTGTCCCAGTTAGTGAAATCTTCTATCAATTCCGGGGATTAGCTCAATGAGAAATAATTCCAGGGATTGGCCTGATGAATAGATAAATACTGGGAAGTGGCTCAAAGACTCTCGTTGAGCGGATGAGTATTTTTTTAGGGGGAAAAAAAAAAAAAAAAATTTTTAAAATAAATAAATAAAATAATAAATGCCGGTATAATTGTGAAGATAAAAGTCTTTATGTGGACACAGGGACACTTTTATTTTTCATAGGTACATGGGGATAAGTTTGTTATTTTTCATGCAAATGTTGGGTGGTTTCCTACTTTACTGATATTTTTACTGTGTATGTGTCAGTGTATCGGACAGTACAGACTGCTCGAGAATTCCTGCACGAACACAGATCTCAAGTAGTTGTGTGTACAGGGATTGGAATAGCATAAAAGGGGATATTGTAGTTAGGGGGTTATTTGAGGTGGTGAATTAAAATGAGTGAATAGGCTGGGAAAACCCTCAACGATCAAGTGCACAGAGTATAGAGTCCATGTAGAAGCTTTTTGATTCAGCTCTCACTCAGTCACTGTGCCATTCACCGCTTCTGCATAACACATGTAATAATCATTGAAATGTTGCAGAAAATTGTAGATAGTTGGACAGAGTGTAAATCCGGCTCTTTGGGGACGGTACTGGCTGAAACAATAAAAAGGTGGTTAAAGAAAGTTCCAAAAGATAAGAAAAGGAAGGGTTACCAAGATTTGTAGACTGGACAATAGATATGCAGGAGAAAGGAATGTTTGGAGACTGTGCCACTCCTCTACCAACACAGACAGATTTCACCTTGTTTCTGCAGCAGGCAGGGGGGAGTGTGAGGAAAAATAAGAGCAAATGCAAAGATGCTGGGGGGCTGGAGCCTATCCCTGCTGACTCAGGGTGAAGGTAGGGGACACCCTGGACAGGTTGCCAGTCTATCGCAGGGCTACACTTAGAGACAGACAACCAAGCACACTCACATTCACACCTATGAGACTATTTAGAATCACCAATTAATCTCAACGTGTTTTTGGACTGCAGGCTGAAGGCGGAGCACTTGGAGAGAACCCACGCTGCACAGGGAGAACATTCAAACTCCACACAGAAAGATCCCGCTGTCCTCACCGGGACGCGAACCGGCGACTTTCTAGCTGCGAAGCAACGGCCACCTTGCAGCCCTGAAAATGACCACAACTCTGGAAATGAAACCCTACCAGAAATTGGAATGAACTCAACTGATGAAATCGTCCCAAAAGAGTCCACTATGGCAATTAGGTTGTAGTAAAGATAATTAAAGCCTCAGCTTCAGAAGTAACCTCATGGCAGTCTACCACCTGTCATAATTCTCTCTATTGCTACAGGTTCAAATGTAGCTCATTTGACTTCTCTCAGAACTCCCTGACCTACATAGATGCAATTGGAGTCCACAGAGGTGTACCTGATGAATATAAATTGGTTGATCAAGTCACCGCGGGGTTTGAGGCATCCCTATTTTGGTGGGTGACTATAAACAAAATGTGGACAGAATTAATTACATTCATTTTAATATTCAAAGACTTAATAATATGACAAGAGATGCCATTACTGGACTACATGAACAATTGGCTGCTACTTCCATGATGACTTATCAAAACAGAATGGCCCTTGATTTCTTGCTAGCTGAAAAAGGAGGTGTGCTACGTTTTCCCAAGAATGCTGTGTTCATCCCAAACAACAAGGCCCTGGACAGCTCTTACAGATCTTAAAAAGATGTCTGAAGAATGAGCAGAACAAAACAGGGATTGATAGTCCCTTCTCTGATTGGCTAAGCAGAACCTTTGGCAAGTGGAAAACGTTAATTGTGTGTGTGTTTATTTCACTACTTGTAGCGATAACTGTGTTAACCTTATGTGGATGTTGCTGCATACCATGTATCAGGCACCTCTGTTGAAAGTGTATTACCACAGCCACTAATGATAAATTCCCCACACCTCCTCCTTATCAATTATCCCAATATGCAGTTGAAATTGTTCCACTGGTCTCCCTCTCTGACCCCAGAGAGGATGAGACTGAAGCTCACAAGGATGTCGACGACATTGTTTGTACTCCTGAAACTCTGTACATACACTGATTTTGCTAAGGTTTACACTGGAGCAGTTTGCAGCTGAGTGCGAAGTGGTGGGGATGCGGATCAGTACCTCCAAGTCCGAGGCCATGGTCTTCTGCCAGAAACCAGTGGATTGCCTCCTCCTGGTGGGGGGGAGTTGCTTCCCCAAGTGAGGGAGTTTAAGTATCTAGGGGTCTTGTTCACCAGTCATGGGAAAATGGAATGCGAGGTGGACAGGCCACTTGGTGCGGCGTCAGCAGTACTGTGGGCACTATACCGGACCATCGTGGTGAAGAGAGAGCTGAACCACAAGGCGAAGCTCTTGATTTATCAGTCCATCTACGTCCCAACTCTCACCTATGGTCATGAGCTTTGGGTCGTGACCGAAAGAACGAGATCGCGGATACAAGCAGTTGAAATGAGCTTCCTCCGCAGGGTGGCTGGGCTCAGCCTTGGAGGAGCCAGTTGAGGTGGTTTGGATATCTGACTCGGATGCCTCCGAGGAGGCTTCCTCTGGAGGTTTTTTGAAGGAGACCCTGGGGCAGACCCAGAACCCGCTTGGAGGGATTATGTGTCTTGGCTGGCCTGGAAACGCCTCAGGGTCCCCCAGGAAGAGCTGGAAAGTGTTGCCGGGGGGAGGGAAGTCTGGAATGACCTGCTCCGCCTGCTGCCTCCGTGACCCGAGCCCAGATAAGCGGAGGAAAATAGATGGATGGATGGATGGATGGATGGATGGAAATTTCAAAATTCATGGAGAATAATAATTATATATTATTCAATCAATCTTTAATTGTCATTGTCAACAAAACACAAAATTTTGTTCAGAGCATTTCATACACTGCACAGCAATAATGGTGCAAGAACCTTCTCCCAGTCCCATAAACACCCACTGTGTAAAATTAGCACACAATAATATACAATAAATTATTGAGTGCAGGCACAAATGTAATAAACAGTAACAGCAAAAGAAGTACTGCACTTTATATTCCCTGTGCAACTGTTTTTTCTTGTTATAAAGAACAGTCTGAGATATGTAAATGATTAACAGCAACACTGATTATTATAGATTATTGTTTTTGAGCAGAGAGAGCAAAGTAAATAAAAAGTCCCACTCAGCATGTTCATGGTCAAAAATGGTCACCTCCTATTTTTACAAAATGCTATAAAAAAAAATAAAAAACACACACACATATTAACATTATTTTCTACTTTCAACAGTTATGTTTTTAAAATTAGAATCAGTCCTGACCATGAAATCCAAAATTTCATTCAACTTCAGAATTTTAACCCTTTAAATTTAATTTAGAGGGGCATCGTAGCATTAAATATGACCCGTCCCATCTGGTCATTCCACATGGCAGGTGTTGCTTCATGTCTTGAGCGGTAGACACCAGCCAGAATCAGAATCCTGATGTAGGCTCTCATCTCCACTTCATCCACATCCCTCCAGTCCTCACACCTCCTGCTCCCATGTAGGTTTGTATGGGTACACAGCAGGTGAATCATTTCCTTGTCACACCCGCTGCCACCAGGGCCAGGTAGCGGCAGTCCTCTCTCTCTTCCTCCCTCTCTTCCTTCCTCGCTCTCCCTTTCCCTTTCCATTCAGGTGGGCGTGAGCTGGTGCAGTGACTGAAGAGGACGGGCAGGTGATTCCAATCAGCTGATGACGCAGGCATGTGTCGGCTGCAGCTGTGCCTCATTTGCAGACCAGCAGTAAAGCCGCTCTCAGTCCACAACTCGTCGCCGGACCATAAACAGTCCTCAGTCAGTCTTGACTCACTTGTCTATGCCCAGCTATTTACCTGTCGGTCGTGTATTAATCCTGTTTCTCCGTCTGCAGCCCAGATCCTCTGCCACCACCGCCAAGCCACTCCGTCAGCTGGCGACTCCTGCCACAAGGTACCGGATTCCGTCCCACTTACCTGCCACCTGTCTGTCCTCTTCAGTCCATCCATCCCGACGCCGATCATCAGCCACGGCTCCGTCCACCAACTGGCACCTGCTCCATTCGCCTTCCCCTCCCTGGCTTCCCTGGCGTCAGCTCGTCACCACCAGCCTTCCCACCGTTGTGTTTGCAGCGCCAACCATCATCCCCTCCCCAACTCCACCAACCAACCCTCCTCCCTGCTTCCCCTCTCTCCTCGTTCGGCTTCCTTCAGGTCTGTTACAGCCTAGCATTCTGTCTGCCTGGTTCGTTAGCCGGTTAGTCGGTCAGCCTCTTAAGTTAGTGATAACCTGCCTGTCTGTGTTTAGTGCTAGCCCTGGTGTTAGCAGTAGTCTGCCTGTTCACAAGTTACGTTAGCCACGTAGCTGGAGCTTCATTTTGCTAGCACCCTATTGTGTACATCCTGTTTGCTAACTCTCTAAGTTATCACTCGTCAGTGTGTTTTGTGCCCCCGTCTACTTCTCAGTTTTCCTGACTCGGTATTGCCGAACTCGGGTTTGTGAATATCTATTGTGTGTTACCTAGTCTGACCACTAGTGGGCGTAGTTTGCCCTGCCAGCCTTTGTGAAATTTGTACCTTGTTCCAGTCTGTACAATAAGGCATTGTGTTTTATCAACCCGCCTGCCGTGATCTGTTGCCTCGCACTTGAGTCACTGAACCAGTCCGTAACAGTCCTCTGTTAATAACAGGTCAAAGGCAGACTGCAGGCTGCTGATGCGGGCAACTGCCTACAGGGTGGGCCCTGGGGTGATACTAGTGAGTACAGGATTGTAGTGCAGGGTCTCTTTAGCAGTGGGAAACCACATAGTTTTCCCATTACGAGACATCCATTCAGCTGCCAGCTCCTCTGTCTCTGCCATTACCTGCTCGTCCTCCACCGCTGTGTCTGTAATGTCCTCACCCACTGAGGAAGAGGCATCAGGCACTGGCTGGTACTCATCATCAGTAGTGATATGTCTTCTGAGGAGGGTGTCTCCTCATCTTCAGGAGAGGATGTGTCCTCTTCAGGAGATGATGTGTCATCTTCGCGAGATGATGTATCCTCATCAGGAGATTATGTGTCCTCATCTTCAGGAGAGGATTTGTTTTCATCTTGGGTAGAAGATGTCTCTTCTTTTGGTGCAGAGGATTTGTCCCCATCTCCGCTCTCTGATCACATCACATACTCATGTGCTTGAAGAAGTGAATATGACCTTCTTGCCATCTTGCCAGAGAAATGATCTGGGAGCTGTGCACCGGCATAAACTCCAGGACAGATTTATAAACAGTGCCAAGTTTGTTTTTGTTTCCCCTGCAGCTGCATCTCTGACCTCTGCAAGATGTCCTGTAATTAATTATTTCTGGAGAGTAGATATTTGGGGGTGTGTAAAGCTATTGTGTAGTTGTGTGTGGCATTTTTAATGAAAAGAACAATGTTACAGGTTCTTTCAACATGTGCATCAAAGTCAAGTTTGCCTGGGACACTAAAAGCTCAATAGCCTGCATCAGCAGAAATTCACTACAACTTGGATATATGATGCATCATAGTTTATTTCACTGTCTTTCATTTTTGTACTGCAATTTCACACACAGGCACAATTTTCTTTATCTGACATCCTAAACATCTCACCTATGTCAGAATTGTGTCATACATTTCTTCCATTGGAGGGCAGTAAGCCATCATACACGCCCTATTGGAAACTAAGAATATTACATGAAAGTGTTCCCTTGGCCAAAAATGGACAAATGACACAATCTGGTAGAAAACATTTAAAACTACTATTTTGAAGTGTTGACGGGGCTCCAGACTAACCTTTTGACCAAGGAGCACTGTGCTCCTAACCCAAAAAAGTTAGGAGCAATAGCAAAAATCTACCACTATAACACATTGAGAGCATAAGCAAAACTCTTGGCCATACCAAGTAATACTCCTATTAATCAATGTTAACAACCTGGAATAAAGTATTTAAATAGATTTTAAAAGAAAAAGCCGACACTGATAGGTGCAAAACAATTGGCAATGTGTGGTATGTAATTTTAGTTGGTTCTTGTAGAAGAAAGATGAATCACGCCATTTGTTTCAACCAGTGATGTGCGGTGAGGTTCATGGCTGGTGAGGCACTGACTTCATCAGAAGCTGATTTGCACTCTACACAGTAGCATATTTGCCCTTTGATTGGCAGCAGTTTACGGGTTGCTTTTCATATCTGCATTATTTACACATACAAGCTGTAGCCCACAAAATGCATGTTTCTTGGTTTTTTTTTTCTTTTTTAAAGTTATTGCGGTCTTACCTTTACCTTTAAATGAAGTCCATGCTCCATTCCTTCTGGACAACAATATCCGCTACTTTTTTGTAAAAGTCTCCTTATCTTCCTTTGCTGCACTTGACTTGCTAACTGTATATCGTACCTAGTCTAGCTTGCTGTCACTTACTCTGCAGCCACGGAGTCACAAGAAGCATGTCTGGGATCAGAACGCCTCCTGCCATGAGGCAGGCAAGAGAACTGCCTGCCTCACCTAGAACCTCTTATCAACCATTTATGATCGCTCAGCACACGAAACACGTTACACACATACAGTTGGTAACAATAAACACATTATTATATACATCAGCTGAACTATGGAAAATCAGTTCATATATTAAATGTGTTTGAACCATGTTATTGGCGACATCCAGACAGCAGCACGCTGTCACTGCCTGGCATCCAGCGCAGGTAGCGAGGGATTGCACAATCCAAGCGAGGCTGAGCTCGCTGCTGCCTCACTTGGATTGCGCAATCCTCCACTTCGCTGGGTGCCATGCAGTGACAGCCTATGCATGGCAGCCTATGCATTATGTGCCAGAGTACTCGTTATCCTGCTGCATATCCGTTAAGGTCCATCAACACAAAAGCGGTGGTGAAGGCGTTGTCGCAGTTCATTTCAGTTTTCGGCATCCCAAAAGTTATTCAAAGCGACCAAGGGTCAAATTTTTCCTCCCACATGTTTGCTCAGGTGCTGAAGTTGTTGCGCGTTAAACATAATCAGTCGTCAGCGTATCACGCCCAGAGCCAGGGTGCTTTGGAGAGGTTCCATCAGACTCTCAGGTCTCTTCTGCGTGCTTACTGCACTGAGCTTGGTAGAGACTGGGAGGAGGGGCTCCCGTGGTTAATGCTGGCTGCGTGGGAGGCCGTACAGGAGAGTACTGGGTTCAGTCCGAATGAGCTGGTTTTGGCGCATGTGGTGAGAGGCCCTTTGGTTGTGCTTAAAGATAACCGGATGGAGACTGAGCCGCCGAAGAATTTGATTGATTTTGTGAATGGGTTTCGGCATCGCTTGTTTGTGGCGGGTGGCATGGCACGTGATAAGTTGCAGTTGTCTCAGAGTAAAATGAAGAAACTCTACGATCGGCGCACAGAGCACCAGGAGTTCAGTCCTGGGGATCAAGTTTTGGCACTGATGCCTGTTGTGGGTTCACCGTTTCAGGCTAGGTACACGGGTCCATATACTGTAGCAGAAAAACTGTCTGATTTGAATTATTTTATTGCGACACCAGGTCGGAGTAAATCCAAGCAGCTCTGTCACATCAATTTTTTGAAGCCATATTACGGTCGCAGTGGTGAGTTCTGTCAGGCTGGTGACGTGCGCTCGGCCTCGGTGCGTCCGGCTTTGTTTACTAGTTCTGTGGCTGTTGTGAATGAAGATGGTGTGCCTGAGCCAGATGAAAGTGTGTTGTGTGGGCGCTTAAAAAATTCAAAGTCTTTGCATAACTTAGACAAACTACTTGGGCATTTACCTGACTCCAAACGTGTTGAGCTGAGTGAGTGATTTAAAAATTTCCTTGTCTGTTCGGCGACGTTCCCTCACGCACCACTTGGGTTGAGCATGACATTGATGTGGGTGATGCACGGCCGATTAAGCAGCGTTTTTACCGTATGTCACCAGAAAAATTAAAACATCTTGACTCTGAAGTGGCGTACATGCTTGGTAATGACATCACTGTGCCGTCCTCCTCTAGTTGGGCCTCCCCTTGTATTTTGGTGCCGAAGCCAGACAAAACGCCTTGGTTTTGTGCAGTCATGTGAAAAGTGAATGCAGTGATGAAACCAGACTCGTTTCCGTTGCCACGGATGGACAATTGTATTGACAGTGCTGGGTCTGCCAAATACATAAGCAAATTTGATCTGCTTAAGGGTTATTGGCAGGTACCGTTGTCCAAACGTGCTCAGGAGATCTCAGCATTTATTACACCGTCGGGATTGTATTCCTACACTGTTATGCCGTTGGGTTTGAGAAATGCTCCTGCGACGTTTCAGCAGCTGATGAATCGTGTTGTGTCCGGTTTGGATGGCTGCTCAGTTTATTTGGATGATGTAGTTGTGTACAGCGACACTTGACATTCCCATCTGCAGCGCGTCCGGGCATTGTTTGAGAGGTTAGCAGAGGCGCGGCTCACCATTAATTTGGCCAAGTGTGAATTTGCTAGGGCCACTGTTACTTATTTGGGGCGCGTTGTGGGACTGGGTCGGGTGGCCCCGGTCCAAACTAAAGTTCAGGCCGTTCAGGAGTTTCCACATCCTACGACGAAAAAAGAGCTGCAGCGGTTTTTGGGTCTGGTGGGCTATTTTTGATCTTTCTGTAAGAATTTTTCCACCGTAGTGTTCCCCCTTACTGAACTTCTGAAGGCCAAGGCACAGTTTGTGTGGTTCGCAGAATGTCGGCAGGCCTTTGAAAATGTTAAGTCCTTGCTGTGCTCGTCTCCTGTTCTGGCAGCTCCGCGTTTTGACCGGACTTTTGTGCTCCAGGTTGATGCCAGCCAAGTGGGACCAGGCGCCGTTCTGCTGCAGGGGGATGATGAGGGGGTGATGAGGCCCGTGAGCTTCTTTTCAAAAAAGTTAAATAAATACCAGTTTAACTCTTCGGTAATTGAAAAAGGAGCGTTAATTTGGGCATTGCAACATTTCGAAGTTTATGTGGGAGGGGGTGCACCACTCGTGGTTTATTCCGATCACAACCCGTTAACATTCCTCCGTTCTCTGAGATGCCTGAATCAAAGATTAATGAGATGGTCCTTGTTTCTATAGCCTTATGATTTGGACATTCGGCACATCAAAGGAACAGATAACGTTATTGCTGACGCCTTATCACGTCCTCCTCCGCCATGAGCTTGTGTATGTTGGTCGCGTGTCATCTTTGTGATTGGCGCGTGCTAGTTTTGACTTCTGCATGCCATTTCTGTGTTTAGGTAGGCTTCTAGCCTTGTGCAAAAATGTTTCATGCTGCCTGATGTTTGTTGCACTGCCTGTCTTCTTAATTTGCTTCCCAGGTACCGAGGTTGCTGAGGTCAGTGAAGGAGCAGGACATGGGCAGGATGGAGGTTATGTGTTTGTCTTATTATAATTGTTTTATTTTGTTTGGTTAATTTTGTTTTTTGTAGTAGGTTATTTTTCTTTTATAGTTGATTTAATCTGTGTTAGTCTGTCGGTGGTCCCCATGGGACACCGTCTTTATGAGGGGGGGTGCTACGGCCCCTGCTGGCCGCTTGGTCTAGGGAAGCAGATGGGTGTCTGACAATGTCACTTTTCTTCCGAGATGATCAGCTGATCCAGCCTTTTAATCAACTTGATCGCGAGCACCTGGACCCGATGCATGGACGGAGTTAAAAGCGTGTCTGATCAGTGTCTCTTTCTCTCTCTGCTCTCTGCTCGACGTCACTACAACACCACACACTACACACATTCACATGGACACCACTGATCATACTGACCAACACACCTCATACTGGTATTGTTATATTTCTTTTGTTTAAATAAATATACATTTTTGTTTAAGTTCGCACTGCGTCTCTCCGCTTTTTTCATTGCCTTTGAGCCAGGTCATGACAATGTTCTCACAGTTTTAACAATAGTCCTGGCCCTTTTGATCTTGGGTGTATACCGTAGGTGCAGCAGAAGTGAAAGATGGTCTGATAGTCCCAGGTGGGGAAAGGCCTGGGCCCTATATGCGTCTGCTACATTGGTATACGCCTGATCCAGAGTCTTATCCCCTTCAGTAGCACAGTTCACGTTTGATGGAATTTGTGAAGAGCTGTTTTTAAATCAGCGTGATTAAAGTCCCCAGCTACAATGTATACACTGTCTGGATGTGCGACTAGGCTGTTGTTAATGTTGTCATAGACCTGTGCTAGCGCTAGCTTGGCATTACCGTCTGGTGGAATATACACTGCACAGATATAAACAGCATTGAACTCTCTCAGGAGATAAAATGGTTGGCACTTTAGCAGCTTGATTTCTGCGTCTGGACTGCACAGCTTATCCACTACTGTGACGTCCGTGCACCAGGAGTTGTTGATATCAATGCACAGTCCCCTGCCAGTTTTCCTACCGGGGTCTGCTGTCCTGTCAGCTTGGTAGGTGATGCGTCCCGCTAGCTCAATTGCTGCATCCAGAGTGGTGCTGTCCAGCTGACCAACAGTTGTACATAGCCCTCTGCATGGTCATCTGCAGTCGTATTTTATCCATCAACATTGAAAATATCCTTTTGGTGAATGAGCTTCTGCAAACTGGTGTTTTAACCATTACAGAAACATAAAAAATATTTTGGCAATTGCCAATACTGTTAATTTAGGGCAGCTGTGGCATAAACCTTACATTGGGTGGTGGTCTAATAAATATGTTAAGCACTGTACATATTTTTATATAAGGAAAATCTATGGGTAAGCTGGGTTGGAAGTTTAGGTCAACAGTGCACATTTGATGACCATCATGCTCATGCAGGAATGTGATATGTAGGGAAAAACAGAAGAGTAACTCCTCTTCTTGTGTGATCAGACTGCTCAGGAAGAACAGTTCACAGCAGTGCACAAACCCCTCACTACAAAAGCGGATTAACATTTGAGAACTTGTGTTGGAAAATCATAGGCACTGGTCTAAAGAGATGTGGGAAAAATAATATGGTCAGATGGTTCATGCTTTAATATACATATTGAAAAATGAGCGCAAGTGTAGTGTACATCAATGTAATGATATAGGCTTGAATGGATGACCCCTACAGTGAGGAGATATTATGCTGTGGGGGAAATTTTGCTGGCATGGATTAGGTCAACTTGTTCTTTTTAAGAAAGGTCACTGAAAATTATTACAAAGCTGTTCTAAGTGATCACCCCTATCTGCTATTAAACATTTCTATCCTGATGGGAGTGGTCCCTTCTAGGACAAAAATGTTCCCATCCATAGGGCGCAAGGGGACACTGAATGCTTTGATGAGCATGAAAATGATATCTCTATGTCCTGCTCACCCAACCTGTAACTTTTAACCATTGATTGCCGGCCTTTCTACCTCCCCCGGGAATTCACCTCTGTTATTCTCAGTGCCGTCTACATTCATCCTCAGGCAGACACGGACACTGCATTAGCTGAGCTACATGAGACTATCTCACCTACCAGGATAATCACCGGGAGGCAGCCGTCATCGTGGCCAGGGATTTTAACAGCGCCAACCTGAGGAAGGTGATGCCGGAACTTCGCCAGCACATCGCCTTCCCCACCAGGGGAGACACAACTTTGGACCACTGTTATTCTCCCTTCAGAGACGGCTATGCAGCAAAGACTCACCTGCCATTTGGCAGACCAGATCTCCATACTCCTCCTGCCCAGGTACAGACAGTGGCTGAAGCGAACAGCTCTTTTTATGTACTTTTTGACAGTCTCTTTTGTTACTGAGTTCCAAATACTTCAGACTTGCTTTCGATGAAACTTTTGTGCAATCTTTCAATGTACTACTTCCCAAATGCGTTGAATAGGATTGAAATCCAGGCTTTGACTTGCCAGTCCATCAGTTCCAGTACTCCAGATTCCTTTTTCTTGGTCAAATAGTCTCTGCACAGCTTTGAAGTAGCTTGGGGTCATTGCCTTGTTGGTATGTGAACCCACGGCCATCAGATTCAGTCCAGAAAAATGTCCATGTTGCACTAAATGTTCCCACCCCTTTAAACAAACAGAACCCCATACCATAATGGAATCTTCACCGTGTTTCACTGTGGGTGCAATGCATCTGGCATCAAAACATTCTCCAGCTTTTCTCCGGACATGACAATGCTGACCAAAGAGTTCAAACGTGGACTTCGAGAAGTACTATAACTGGCCAAGTCAAAGTCTGGATTTGAATCCTATTTTGAAATTATTATTATAAATTTGGGATGCAGTACATTCAAAGATCCATCCATCCATCATCCTTAGGGTGAAGGCAGGGGACACCCTGGTCACCAGTCTATTGCAGGGCTACACGTAGAGACAGACAACCAAGCACACTCACATTCACACCTATGGACAATTTAGAATCACCAATTAACCTCAATATGTTTTTGGACTTGTGGTAGGAAGCCGGAGAACCCAGAGAGAACCTACGCTGCACGGAGAGAACATGCAAACTCCACATTCAAAGATTGATCACACAAAAGTTTTATCTAAAGCAAGCCTGTGGGAATAACAAAAGAGACTGTTGAAAAGTACATAAAAACAATGACAGCTTGCATTCTTGGAAGCTGTTATCAAGGCCAACATTTTTTACTTTTAAACTTTAAAAAAAAAAAATTTCTAAAATATTTTTATTTTCTCATTTTTATGACAGGTGGTCTAATAAATTTGTAAAGCACTATATATATGTCACCCCGTGCTACAGTATGGCTCACTAATGTGTTTTTAAGTATGTGGAGAGCAGTACAGATCTCTATATAAAATAAAAATCTATCAAGTTTTTTACACACACTAGACTTGTTAGCAGGATTTATAGATTTATGTCATGATCCTGGTGGGCCTCTCTCTCATTCCTTGCGTATCTTGTTCGTCCCGTGTATGTTGTCTCTGCCTATCTATTTGTGTGCATGCATGTACAGTTGTGTTCAAATAACAGCAGTACAACATGACTAGCCAAATCAGCCACTGTTTTTGGTAGAAATTATTTTATTACATGGCAAATACTTTACGAGCAAGTGTAGTAGAGACAGAGAAACTAACAGACCCAACATTTATGATATGCATGCTCCTGAGTCTGTGTGATTGAATAATTAATTGAAATGGGTGTGTTCAAAATAATAGCAGTGTGGAGGTCAATCAGTGAGGTCATTCATTATGTGGAGAAACAGGTGTCATTCAGGTGGCCCTTGTTTAAGGATGAAGCCAGCACATGTTGTACATGCAATTCTCTCTGAAAGCGATGAAGACGTTGAAGACAGCAGCCTAAAGTTTCAGCTCCTGACTGAACTATCAATAACCCCCTTAAATCCAGGAGATTTACAACCAACGTGGTTTTCAGTAAATAACAATGTCGGGAGGAGAAGAAAGGGGTCGTAGTATGGCACTAAGAAGTAGAAAAAAAGGAGCGTTGACTCGGAAGATGTATATATATAACAATAATAAATTAAACCATGGTTAAAGCCATGTCCGAACTACAAAATAGTATTTTCAAACAAACAAACAAACAAACAGTTAACAGATATAAACCAGAAGTTGAAGGAAACCCTAAAGAGACTAGGCGACGCCGAGCAGCGCATCGGTGAGGTGGAAACATTTGGTGCGGAGGTGCAGGAGGTGTTAACCGAGATGCAGAAAACCCAGCTGGAACTGAAGTCAAAGATTGCTGAGCTTGAGGGACACTCACGTCGCAAAAATATTCGGATTTATGGTATCAAGGAGGGAGCTGAGGGGACCTCAATGCTTAACTTCGTGGAGAACTTCATAAAAACTGAACTGGGTGAGAGCACTGGCCTGAACGAACTGGGTATTGAACGCGCACACAGAGCAGCCGGACCTAAACTCGCTGAGACGGCTCCTCCAAGATCGACGGTCGTGAGATTCCTGAAATACACCACCAAGGAGCAGATCATCAGCGTGGCGTGGAGGAAGAGGATCACCCTGGATGGGAACAGGGTGTTTTTCGACCACGACTACGCAACAGGTGTGATGGAAAAAAGTAGGGACTACATGTCAATCCAAAAAGTTCTGAAAGAAGAGGGAATCAGATTCCACACACCGATGACTGAAATGCGTGTTTTCTTGGAGTCGGGGACCGTCACATATGAGAGCACAGACCAGGCTGCCCAGGATCTTCGAGCAAGGGGCCTCCCGATACTACCGAGACCTGAGGGCAGACGGAGAGAAGCACTGCGACCGAGCCCCCGCTGGGAGAAGGCGAGGAGCAAACGGCATGGAGCCGGAGGTGAATATCAGCAGAGGATCCGAGACAAGCTCCGTGGATTTAACCGGCTGGCCGAAACGGACAACGAGGACAGTCAACCTATTGTTTTTCCTTGTCTGTTTACCTGAAACAGAGCAGTGGTAAGCTTTATATGACAAAAGTACCAGAATCCTTCCTTATTTTACTTCCACCTTTAAGCCAGACTATTGCCATTGTTTGATCACTGCTAGCATATGGAGAACATTTACTTATTTAAACTGGCCTATTTTAATTTAAGAACAAGGTAGTCAGTCTACAGAGTCTGAATGGCATAACAAGAAATTTAAGGTTATCACTCTTAATGTAAATGGCTTGACTAGCCCTATAAAGAGGAGTAAAATGATATCTAAGATAAAGAGAGAGAAGGCACAAATTATATTTTGGCAAGAGACTCACTTAACAAGCCAAGAGCATGACAAGCTAAAGAAAATGGGCTTTAGACACACTTACTATTCATCGTTCAAAACAGGACGCCAAAGGGGTGTAGCTATTCTGATGCCAAACTCTGTCCACTTTGAGCTTCTGTCAGAAACCAAAGATAAAGAGGGCAGGTTCATCATGGTGAAGGGTAAATTAGATGATAAAGAGGTGACTTTGCTAAATGTTTACGCGCCTCCAGGTAGCAACAGGGTGTTCTTTAAAAAAATTTAATTAATTGCATTCCAAAGTGCTGGAGTTTTGATTTGCACAGGCGACTTCAATATAATTTTAAATTCAAAGTTGGACACGACTAATCAAAAAAGGAAAACCATCAACACTGAAAGATGGTTTAAAAGAAGAGTCCAGGATCTTGGCTTGATAGACACTTGGAGAGACTTCCACAACCATGTTAGACCTTATACATTTTACTTAAATCGACATAATGCCTACACAAGGATTGATTATTTATTCATGCATAAATCAGAGAGACATGGGTTAAAAGAATGTGAAATAAGTCAGAAGGATATATCAGATCACTCCCCCATCCACTTAAAATTACACTTAGATAGTGGATATAAAACAACAACATGGAGATTAAATACTAGTATGCTAAATAACCCTGGGTTCAAGGAAAAAATAAAGAATGAACTAAAAGCATACTTAGAGGACAATGATGATGATGGGAATGTGAACCCAGTGATACTGTGGGATGCCGCCAAGGCAGTTCTGAGGGGGAAAATTATATCAGAAACTGCTTTTGTTAAAAAGATAAAAACTCAAAGACTCCGAGAGCTTCAAAAACAACTTCTAGACCTCGAACAACAGCACAGTAAAAACAGCGACCCACAATTACTTCAGCAAATGAGAGCAATTAAACAAGAAATTGATAACATATATTGCGACGAGTTGGAGAAAAAGCTGAGATTTACAAAACAGACATATTATGAGGCAGGATCTCAAGCCTCTAAGATATTAGCCTGGAGGTTGAGAAAACAGCAAACACAAAATACAGTCTATAAAATTAAAGACCCCATTACTAAAAAGGTAACATACAAATTAGAGGGAATATAAAAAGCATTTGAGAAATACTACCAGGCTTTGTATACTCAACCTACAACATTCGACAGCGGCAAGGTTGAAGAATTCCTGGACCAGCTGGACCTGCCCTCTCTAGGTAGAATGCAAAATGACAAACTAATTAAAGAAATATCTCCTGGAGAAATTGACAGGGTGATTTCCTGGCTAAGATCCTGTAAGTCTCCAGGGACTGACGGATTTCCAGGAGAATGGTATAAATCATTTAAAGAGCAATTAATACCATTATTACAAAAGAGTTTCAATCACACCTTAAAGGAGGGAGTTCTTCCCCCATCTTGGAGGGAGGCCACCATCTCAGTAATACCAAAAGAGGGTAAGGACTTAACAGAATGTGGAGCATATTGTTACTCTTTTTTTGTGTGTACATGTTGCATGCCATTCCACTAGGGGGCTCTAGTACCCCTGTTGCACATGTTATAGGGGTAGTGAAGTAACGAGGTTGCCGGCGGTGATCACGGTGTAGTTGAACATGGCAGTGGCTAAATAAATTTGTTCAGAACTAAACGTGGAGTTGCCTTTGCACTAACATTGGTAGCAGAGGATGGTTAGTAACTACAGAGTTCCGCCTACATTTGAAGAGGGAAAGCCCTACGAAAGCTGGAAGAATGAAGTCAACATTTGGACAAGAGTTACCGATCTGGAGAAGAAAAAACAAGCTCTTGCCGTCGTGCTGGCGCTATCAGGGCGCGGGCGCGGGACACGGCGATGGAAGTTCCGGTAGACGATCTAAATGAAGACAGTGGAATGACCACTTTGTTAGCTAAACTGGATGATTTGTTCCTTAAAGAGGAAAATGACAGGATCTACGAAGCATACTCTGATTTTGACCACATTATAAAAGAAGTGAACATGTCCATGGCGGACTATATTATTGATTTCGAACAGCGCTACTCACGAATGAAAAAGTACAAAATGGAACTACCTGACGCAGTTTTAGCATTTAAGCTGTTGAACACTGCGTGTTTGGATGTGACGGACAGGCAGCTGGCTTTAACTGCATGCACTGACTTAAAATTTGCCACAATGAAGTCCGCTTTGAAGAGAATATTCGGCGGAAAAACGAGTGCGGCAGCAGCAAGTAGTCAAGAGTCAGTGTTTGCCACGGAGCAGCGACGGTAAAACGGCAAGTCCTGGCAGCAGAGCGCTCGGCAGAAAACTCCACAGCCTGGTACAAACCCGCTGGATAAGTTTGGACGACGATCAAAGTGTGCAGTGTGCCAAAGTACGTTTCATTGGGCCAAAGACTGTCCGCACAGAGGTGAGAGTGTTAAAATGACGGAAGACAAAACAGACGCGGAAGAGTGTAATATTACTCTGTACACTAAAAATGCAGAAATATTCATGACCGAATGTTTTGGCTCAGCAATAATAGACACTGCATGCACGAGGACAGTCTGTGGACAAGAGTGGCTAGACAACTACAGTACTGTGTTACAAAAGAAAAGTGTGAAGACGATGAAAGAAACTGAAACACAAAGCCACAGGCCCTTCAAGTTTGGAGATGGAAAAGTAGTCTACTCAGTGAAGAGAGTCAAGATTCCTGCTAAGATTGGCAACACAAAGTGTAATATAGAAACTGAAGTGGTACCTGCTAGCATTCCCCTGCTTTTGAGTAAGACATCGTTAAAAAGGGCAGGGACAGTTCTGGACATGGAAAGTGACAGTGCAGTGATGTTCAACCAGCCTGTCAAACTGGACTTTACTAGCTCTGGACATTATTGTGTCAACATTGTGGACAGTGAGGGTAAATGTCCTGCTACTAACACTGATCAGATACTAGCTACTACTGAGGAAGAAATACTGACAACCACAGACAAAATGAAGACAAGCGAGAAAATGAAAGTTTTAGAGAAACTTCATAAACAGTTTGGGCATGCCTCTGCTGACAAACTACTAAGACTTCTGAATAGTTCTGGCAACAAAGACACAGAATGCACCAACCTGCTGCAAAAGATCATAAACCAGTGTGAAGTGTGTCAGAAATACTGTAAAACCAAACCAAAACCTGCTGTCGGCCTACCACTGGCATCAACATATAATGAAACAGCTGCTGTAGATCTGCATGAGCTTGAGCCAGGGGTGTGGTACCTACATATTATTGACCAGTTCACCCGTTTTAGTGCTGGTAGTGTCCTGACCACCAAGAGGTCTTCTGAGATAGTCAAACGTCTTATCCATGATTGGATCAGTGTGCATGGCCCACCACAAAAGTTATTCAGTGACAATGGTGGTGAGTTTAATAATGAAGAAGTGAGAGACATGGCTGAGAACTTTAACACTGAAGTAAAGACAACACCCGCCTACAGCCCCTAGAGCAATGGACTATTAGAGCGCCATAATCAAACCCTGACTGAGATCATCATGAAAGTGAGAGCGAGTACTGGATGTGACTGGAGCACAGCCATGGACTGGGCCCTGATGGCGACGAACTGTATGCAAAGTGTCCATGGATACAGTCCACATCAGCTGGTGTTTGGGCAGAATCCAAACCTGCCCTCTGTGTTAATTGACAAAGCACCAGCTCTAGAGGGCACAACCAAAAGTGAATGGGTCGCCAAGCACATCTCAGCCCTGCATGCTGCAAGAAAGGCTTTTACAGAAGCAGAATGTTCAGAGAGAATACGCAGAAAACTGAAGAAACAGCTGCGGCCCACCAATGAGAGGTATGAACCCGGAGACAAGGTCTTTTACAAACGAGTTGACTGTCCAGAATGGAAAGGGCCTGGAGTGGTCATTGGCCAGGACGGTGCAGTTGTTTTTGTCAGGCATGGAGGCACCTGTGTCAGGGTGCATCAACTTAGGCTAAGAAAAGTGACTCATGAACATGAAGAGCTTCAGATTCCCTGTGATAAAGAGAATAATGAAGGGCAATGTACAGTGGACATTGAAGAAGAGGAAGAAGAGACAAATGTTCAAAACACAGAGAATGATCCTTTGCCCGCTCTTGAAAACACAGAAGCAGAGAGACCGGACCCAGGAAATATCAACATGAAGACTGGTCAAATCGTGACATTCAGAAATCCAGAAAGTGGTGTTTCACAAACAGCAAAAGTGTTAAGACGTGCTGGCAAAGCAACTGGAAAATACAAGAACTGGTATGATTTGGAGCTACTTGAGCCTGTGGAGGTGGCAGGTAACAATGAATCAGCTGATCTGTCCCAGTTGGAGGATCTTCATGTTCAGGCAGATGATACAGATACACACGAGGATGTTTTTGTGGCTAATGACGTGTCATTTGATGAAGCAAAGGAAAACGAAATAAAAAGCTGGAAACAGAACGAAGTGTTTGAGGAAGTTGAGGACAAAGGACAAAAGTGCATCTCCACTCGGTGGGTGTGTACTCTGAAAGAGACTGAAAATGGATTAGTACCAAAAGCAAGGCTTGTTGCACGAGGATTCGAGGAGCTACAAGTTTCTGAGCTACAAAAGGACTCACCAACATGTGCCTCAGAGTCACTGAGACTCCTAGTGGCAGTGATATGTCAAAGACAATGGGACCTTCACTCCATGGACATAAAATCTGCCTTCTTACAAGGAATAGAACTGTCCAGAGACATTTTTATAAGACCAC